GGGGGGTGGGGAGGGGAGGGGCTTGAGTTGTTTTGAGGTTTTTTTTAATAGTTTATATGCCTGCATTTAGGAGAAATGTGTTAGATATGAAGTTTTTTTTCTGCATAGTTCCAGATTCAGTTAATTACAAGTAAAAGTAATGTTTATATATCTAGATGGCTGATACTCTGACCATAAATCAATTTAAATGCTGATGAAAATTAAATTAAATAAGCTTACTTGCACGTGTAAGCACTACAGTGGAAAAAAACCTGCAATAAATGTTTGTTTGTAGTTGCTGACCTTTCTCCTCTTATTAAAAATATTATTATTTTTCCAATTATATAAGGCTATTTGTTTTACTACACTTGCTCCATGAACTCTGTGAATGGGTCCTCTTGTTTTTATATATGCTGCTCTTTCACAGCAAATCTTTTTTTTCCCACAGCAAACTACATATTTCCACAGCCATTTGCTGTTAATACCAGTGTTAGCAACTAACTTTTCCTGCCTGTGACCTTCTGGAAAGCTCCACCAAATTACTTCCTCCTTAAAATGATCCCTACTTCTTGACGTAAATCTGAAATATACAGTGAAATGAATCAGGCAAATTACATCAGCATAAAATTAAAAGATTAACTGACAAATAAAGTATGACACAAAATTACACATTGACTTCACTCATGATAACTTCACATGTATAATGCATCTCAGAAAGCAGTACAGAAATGTTCCTAATTACATTCTTGAGCCACCTTGAATTAGGAGGACTTAATTCACCATTGCTGAAGTTCTAAAGACAGTTTAAAGGTTGGTAAGGCCTTGATATCAAAAGAAATATTTTCATTAGTGATATACTTACTCTCATAACCATCCTACACACCTTAAGAGTCTTTGGCAGCTTTTATCCTTACAATACACAGAGGACTCAGACAAGGACATTTGATTTTACAGATGGAGAATGGAGGCAGAAGAACATACCTGGAGTCATGTGGGAACTTCCCTCTGAACTAGGAATTTAAGCAGGTTTATTCACATCAAGCATCTTTTGCTGTATATTATACTTCCTTCCACTCCTCAATAGCTCTCTAGCAAAGGCCTCTACCAGCTCAGTTTCAAACCAGCCAGCAACAATACAGAAAACTAGTAACACAGAGTTCAGTATGAACAAAGTCCACTAAAAACACAAAACATCCACTATGCAGTACTTGTACAGTGCTTTTGCTATGCCATACATAGTACTCAAACTAACAAAAGCTTCCTTGACTACATACATGTGAAGTCATACCTTTGATCTGTCCTGTAAATCAAAGATTACTAAACTGATCATGTAGACACATGTCATGCTATAGCAGTAAGATATAATATTGAGAAGCTCAGTAGTAATTCCTTCTTCTGGGTATGTGATTATTAAACTTTACTTGAATTAGATAGATTCTGTATACTCTGATTATTATTCTGTGCAGGTTTTATCTTCAGTTAAAACAAATCTGAATCACTTTAAAGACTTCTTTAATACCCTTAGACCAGTCTTTGTTTCTTTCTGCTGACAGGACAGTCACAATTGTAGGCAGATTATTTACAGTAGTGGCGTGGACTTTTCCATCACCCTCCTAAATGGGACATCTGTTTTGAAACAGTCTTTACTTGGGTGTCAAATAGAGCCAGTGTATATCTGCTAATCAGTTCAGATTTGAGAATTTTTCAATAAAAGGGAGAGTTCCACTCTTTGTATCAAAAACAAAACAGTGACTAGAGAGTGGCCTGAACCACCTTGCAGACAAATAGCTGATAGCTCTGATTGCAGACAAAAAAAAACAGCATTTACGTTTTCTGTCCTATTCACCTTCTTTACATGTTAGAAGTCCCAGTGAGCCAAGGGAGCACGTCCTTGGTCAGGGTACAAGCTGAATAAAGAATCAGGAGTCCCATTTTCTCATTTAATTTTCAGCAAATAACACTCATTCTTGATGGAATTAGTTGCTAAACAACATACTTAAAAATGCACAAACATCACAGTTAACTAAGGTCTATCCAATGGTTTGTAATGTGATACACGAAGGCAGGCTAAGGCTAGATGAACTCCAGAGCTGCTAAAGCATTTGACTTGCCTCAAAACATGTGAAGACTTGCTGAACTGCCTTTTCCTCTCAGTCCGGTATTCTCCAGGGTGGTATCCTGCTATCTGCTTTTCATTCTTAAGCTGTTTATTTTTCTTCTGGGGTGGCAATGGTGCCAACCCCAGCAGATTAGCTGGTGGCCAGCAGCAGTCAGGTATACTCTAGAATTTCTTAATTCAGCTACTACTATGGCAGAGAAACCTCCAATTTAGTATTTAATTCTTCTAAGGTTCCTTCTTTCATCCACACCTCCATACTACTGATTTCCCCCTCTCAAATAATGAACATTACTCAAGGAGAGAAAGACAAACATCCAAAGGATTGAGTTAATACAGTAGCTATGTCATAATTCCATTTTTCTACAAACACAGCAGCACCATCAAAAGATAGTTTCATATAATTGTTAGTGTAGCTGCTAGACCCTTTCAAGATAAATACAAACTGTGATGTAACTTTGCAAAAATATAATTGATTTATAGGTTTCTAAAGATTTAAACACACAAGGAAGATTCTGGTCTAACCTTTCAACTGTAGTAAGTCAAAAGGCCTTTGAATTCTCTGAACTACACAGATCACATCTTTTAAAAGTTTCCTTTCAACAAATTCCAACGTGCACACTCACAACATCCTTTAAAAAAAATTATAAACCATAAAATCTATGTCTATGTGCAAGTATGAGTGCAGAAGAGAAAGTTCTAGATGCAATTCCCATTACATGGGTATGAGAATTTTTCCCTAACCCCACTGAGTGCTGAATCGGTCTTAATTACCATATGAAGTGGGTGTTGGTATGGGTGTGAGAGCATATATAAACTGAAATAATACTTGTATTGATCTCCTAGATAACTATATGGTGTTTACTATATGGTGTTTATCAGCTTTGATTTATTTGGGGTTGTGTTTTCTCTTTCTCTCTCTCCACCCTCCTCCCCCCAACTTTTTCTTTTATACCTTTCCAGGATTTTTCCTCCTCTTCTTCCACTTGTGTGTCTAGGAGCGTTTAGAGTCCAGACTGAAAAAGACCCATAGTAAAAGTTAATGATTCTTCAGTTCATTATGCTTCTATGAGCTTTTAATGATTAATTTTCATATGATGATAATAGTGCAAGTTTCATGTAAAAATACAACATTTCAATATATTAAACAACTACTATTCTGTAAGAAGTGCAGAAATATGGAACATGGTCATTGCATTAGCTTCTTTTATAGCTCTTCAGGAACATTCACCCCTCATTACAAAATTTTTAAATATTAGCACTATAACTAGTACCTTTGACCAGGGTCCTAAGGGCATCTTGCAGAGCTCAGGTTCTAAGTGTTAACTGCTTTTAAATATTTTTTTAGCTTTAAGCCTGAATGCATTTTTCACATCTCAGTTCTAAGATCAGCGATACCTTTGTGTTTCAAAAAAGAGGATATTCTCACTAACAGATAAAAGTCCACATAGTACATTATCGTAGCTCTACAAATCTGAGTTTAAATAGGGCAAGAGCCACAGTGTTATTCACACTCCTCAAGCAGTCATACAGCTCCTCTGCCAGCTTGCATTCAACTTTTCTGGTCTGCTTACTTTAAAGGGAGGAGAGGTTTCTACTATTAATATTGACTTTGGTGTAATATTGTGGATCCTAACACATACTAAAGAATAAATCCAAACATAAACAATTTTTTCCTATCAGGGTTATAGGCCATTGTTACTCTATTTGTAACTCTGGCTCAGATCATCTAGTTGTAACTCTATTCTGACTGATTTTAGCAACTAGTGATATCAGTTGCAGTTGCCCTAAGTCTAGTCATCAATTTCTGACATAGATTCAAAAACAATGGAAGATATATTTCACTCAAACATGGAAGGTTTTGATTTATTTTTTTTTTAAGTTAAAATACTTTCTACCAAAAACAATCCTAAAAAGAAAAGGTAGATTATCCAAGAGGCTGAAGCTATGTGGCACTCATATAGAGCATGAGAGATCCAGTTCAAGTCCCAGTTCAGAGTTAAATCTGGACTTGATTCTAGATCTTCATGGAAAAATGACTTCTCAACTACTATGCTAATAAGATACATTTCTATCTAATACCCAAACACACTTTTGCAGAAAGGAACAGTCTTTACTACAAAGAGGAAAAAAAAAAAAAGAATAGGATACAGGAAACCTGCTTAAGTCACTGCCCTCGTCACCAGAGAAAAGAATTTGACTGAGATACTTTACCTTAGAGGTGTGCTTTGACCAGGCATAGCTTTCTCCCTCTCTCAAATACATAGAGATATTTTATCCTGGACCTTTCTGTCTAGAAGTGTTTCATCAAACATCTTAGTGCTAAGAAAATAAAAACTCTAATTAGGAAAAAGATGTCTTAGACATTTTACTCAGCTTTAACAAGCAAAAATCCATATAACAGATGTAATAGATAGCAAAAAGGGGTGGGAAAGGGAGCTGTGACCCCTTTTAAATAATGTACAAACCTACAGCAGAAGTCAAGAGCCCAAAATAAATTTTGACTGCTAAGCTTCAATCTCCCTTTTATACAAGATTTTATGCTAGATTCCTACATCTTAATTATAAGGGAATAATCACATTTCTTGAGACAATATAGGAGAAAAAATTTTCTTAAAGCTAAGGAAACACTGTAGGGGCCTATATTCTTTATCTATTCTCTCCTGAAAAATAAGTTTATTTCAGTCACTGTTTTTAAAGAAGGCTTGGAAGGAATCTATGGCAGATACTTTTTTTTTTTAATGAGAACACTATTTCACAGTATTTCCTGATGCATGTGAAATTATAAGATGAATTCATATTAGAGCAAAATTTGTCAGGGTAAGTAGAACCAGCCCCACTAATGTACATATTCACAATGTATTGAATCTGCAATGTCATTCTCTGCCTGGTATTAAATCAAAGGGAATTGTGATTACAGACTGGAGAAGGAAATTGAGGCTCTGGAAAGAGAGGAAATGGAAGTCTCAGCTAAGGAAGAAGCTATTTTAAAGAAACTTAAGTCTGTTGAGAAAACAACAGAAGACATAATAAAGGTTAGTGCCAAATTACTCCAGAAGTAGAATTCATTGCTTCTTCATCATAATAACCATGGAAAGGGGAACAAGCTGGATCCTGTGAGTGGTCATGAGCTTTTGTCTAAAGTGAAAGTAGTTCAAATACAAGAGGGGTCAAGGTGTTATACTATTCAAGTGCCCAGATGTCCCCACTTGCTTGTTTATGGAGGTAGAAAAGCAATTCCTATCCTTACTGATCCATAGCACATTTAAAAAAAAAAAATAGCACTGCCACCAACCAGCAACTTTGAATCTCAGCCAGAGACCAATATAACAGGTGCAGAGGCTGACATAGTCATACATTTTCAGGTGATGTGCCCAGCTAAACTGCATCATGCTTCCCCCCAAGCCTGTGAGAGAGGTTATAGTGAAACATGACTTAATATTATCAGTCATTAGTCTCTGTCAAAAGGTCATTTTGATATTTGAAAGTCATCTTGAACTATCTCAAAAATATAGTGATGAAAGTAAACTTCAGTTCTCCAGTTGTTCTTATACAGATGCACACACTCTTT